GGGAGAGGGAGGGTGTCGGAGGCCTAGATCTTAGGGTCGATCTTCGCGGAGGTATCCGCTTGAGAGGAGCGGCGGCCAGCGGTGACGACGGTGGAGGGGTACCTCCGACGGACAAGTTTGAGCGTGAGAAGAGAGAGAGGGTAGATATGAAATGGGTTAAGGGCAGTTTTGGATTTTGAACCAATGTTTGTCATTGTGGTGTGTTGGAAAGGTAAACAAGGGCTGAATCACAAGTACTTTATGTATTAGGGGCTTTGTCACCCAAAAAATAATATGGGGGACCTAGTCACAACCGCTTTTTTATTTTAGGGTCTTGAAACATTTTTCCCAATATTTAAACTTTCAATGGTCAAGTTCATTCTTTTAATATAGTAATAATTTAATATTTTTATGCAGAATGGAACTATTTTGTATGAGCCCACTTCAAAAGAAGCAGCTTCAGAACATGCTTTTGGCTCTAGAATGGGAGGTCATCGGGAAGAATAGAACGAAGAAAAATATATAATAAGAATTATGACTTAGCATGGGAAAAAGCTATAATCTCATGTTTCAATCACCCTGATGATGCCACGAACTATGTGAGATATTGAGTAATCATTGTGTGAAATGTGTATATTAAATATAAGCAGGTAGATAAATAAAATAACTAAAATTAAAAAATATATTAAAATTAACAGGCCAAACGATTGAAACTGTTTGGCTAGTTATCAACCCAAACGATTTCAACTGTTTGGCCAATTATCTAGCCAAACGGTTTCAACCGTTTGGCCAGAAACTTGTCCAAACGGTTTCAACCGCTTGGACAGAAATTTGGCCAAACGGTTTAAACCGTTTGGCCAAGTTTCTGACCAAACAGTTGAAACCGTTTGGAAATTATTAAAGGGCCAAGTTTCTGACCAAACAGTTGAAACCGTTTGGAAATTATTAAAGTCCCAAACGGTTACAACCGTTTGGGATACTATCCAAACGGTTGTAACTGTTTGGGCTTTTGTCCAAACGGGTATAACCGTTTGGGCTGCCGTGGGGGCAGACTCATCCCTAACAGCTTCAGCCCAAACAGTTCTTTTTTTGTCCAAAAGATTGTAACCGTTTGGAACAGTGTTTTCTCAAACGGTTGGACTGTCCTGTTTTGTACTAGTGTATCCGAATCTTTTTGATTCTCAGAGTGGAGATCCCACTCTTAGTTTTACCTTCCCGAATTCTTGAAGTGAAAATCTCACTTTGAGTTTCCTTTGTAACTGGAGATAGAATATAAAATTCTTCATTTCCAGTATCGGGTTCGTCTTTGCCCCAAGAGAAGACACCATCCTTTAACACCATAATCCGCGTCTTACACGCACGGGGAATTTTATCCTGAATCCTAAGAAAGGATAAGTCAACGCCTAACACGCGTTACTGGTTTAGTCTTTCACCAATTGAAGAAGACACTAGAATCCGAGTCTGGGGACTTTTATCCTGAAACCTAAGTAGGGATAAGCCAACGCCTAACACGCGTTACCGGTTTAGTCCTTCACCGATTGAAGAAGATACCAGAATCCGAGTCTGGGGACTTTTATCCCGAAGCCTAAGTAGGGATAAGTCTACGCCTAACACGCGTTGCCGGTTAGTCTTTTGCCATAAAAAGGACAAAAGCCCACATATTTAATATTATGGCAGGTTATTATTCATAACGCCAAAATCCGCGCCTTACACGTGCGGGGAACTTTATCTCGACTCCTAAATGGAGATAAGCCTACGCCTAACACGCATTGCCGATTTAGTCTTTCACCGATTAAAAAAGACACTAGAATCCGAATCTGGGGATTTTTATCCTGAATCCAGAGTCAGCGCCTAACACACGTTGCCGGGTAGTCTATTCCTATAAAAAAGATAAAGTCTACGTATTCAATATCGTAGAACTAAGAGAGTTAACTCTCTTAGCATAACGTTACATGTAGAACGGACTTAAACAATCTGTATGCTAGCCCGACTCGAACGGTAGTTGGTAAAGGCACGTTAAATCCGTTGAAGGCTAAGGGTTTGCCAAAAATCCTAAAACTACGTCTAACACATGTCGCCGGGTAGTCTATTCCCGTGAGAAAGACGAAATCTACATATTCAATATTGTAGCACTAAGGGAGTTAACTCTCTTAGCACAACGTTACATGCGGAACAGACTTAAACAATCCGCATGTTAGCCTGACTCAAATGGTAGTCGGTAAAGACTTATCAAACCCGTTAATGGCTGGGGGTTTGCCAAAAATCCTATAAATATAAGAGTCATTGACGCACCAACCCTATAGTTGGTCTCGTGACTTGAACATCCAACAACTTCAGAATAAGTGCCATACATGCAGATGAATCAGCTTTAACAGTTGGTCCTGTAGCCCCAACATTTAGGACCGTCATGCTCTAATGTCTTAAGATCTTAAACTGTATAGACTTCAGCAAACGTACGAGTATAAACCGTATTAACGCCAGTCAATGCATTACAGTAAAGGACCATGCCGGTCAACGCATCAGCAATCTCGCCAAAATAAGGTAAAGGATGATTCCAGTGAGTTCAATCACATTCAGATATGAATTACCGATGAAGATGATCAGTTTAACGTCAGCTCAATGATAAGAGCTAGATTCAGAAACTTACGCACCAACTTCAGTTCAAGATTTCGACAATGGTCAGACGATAAACGCAAAGCTGAAAGAACTTCATCTATTCAACAAAACACTGAATAGAAGGAAGGCTAAAGAAGTCAAGAATTGAAGCCAGCTACAGGTCCTTTGACACCGACTGAAGGTGGGACCTATCACATTCAAAGTATTTCAGACTCCTCTATAAAGGAATAAGGCTAAAATACTTAGAGGGGGTATCTGTAGGCATCTAAAAATAACTATAGGTGTCCGCACATAGCTCGAGATAAAGAGAAGACGATGAACACCATTATCCAAGTCGAAGGGGATTATCTGAGTCAAAGAGAATCATCTAACACCGACAAACGTATAAAGCAAATCAGCGAACCAAGTGGCTCATGCGCTCACAGGCCACCTCCAAGTGGCCCGCGCACTCTCCAGCCAGCGCCAAGTGGCCCACGTGCTCACCGGCCATCGCCAAGTGGCCCGCGTACTCACCGACCAACTCCAAGTGGTCAACATGCTCATCAGCCACTTCCAAGTGGCCCACATACTCATCATCCACCTCTGAGTTAACAAAATGTATGAAGTGAATCAGTGAAGCGTACGAGTCAACGTGATACGCGAAACGGCAAAACGACTCAGCCAGGAGTTGTGTTTCGCCCAAAAGGGGGGAAATACCATGTGTGTCTCGCTTACACTATGAGTGTCTCATCCAATATAAGTTTTAGGTCTCTTCATCAGCTTTCCAACGCATCTTGAATCACCTCAATCCGAGATCGGACGAGAGAGTTAGAGTCAAAACACCAGAGATGGTATGAACTGGCTCGCAACGCTACGAGCCACCATTTGGTGGCTCACACAAAGAGATGACATTTAGACCATGAGTAGCTCGGCTATTGGAAGTTGTAGGTCTCGTCTCCATCTTTCCAATGCATCTTGAATCACCTCATTCCAAGATCGGACGAGAGAGTTAGAGCCAAAATACCCGAGATGGTACGAACTTGCTCACAAGGCTGCGAGCCACCATTTGGTGGCTCGTACAAAGAGGTGAAATTTAGACCATGAGTGGCTCGGCCATTAAAAGTTGTAGGTCTCTTCTCCAGTTTTCCTACGCATCTTGAATCACCTCATTCCGAAATCGGACGAGAGAGTTAGAACCAAAATACCCGAGGACGTACGAATTGGCTCGCACAAAGAACTGACATTTCAGCCATGATGTGATTTGATTCTGGAGAAACTCAAAAGACAAAAGTTGTAGTTATAATCCTTTTCTATGTTCTTCAACTATTGTAATTGATATAAATATAAGAATATTGTTGAATTTACAACGTTAGTTAAAATATGTTTTATGGTAAAGGTATAATACTGAAGAGATTCTAGTGTTTTTTTTTGTTAAATCATCTCATGCTGTCAAAGATTTCTAGCAAATCTTTGTTTCTATTGATCAGTTTGTTTATAAAATATAACATATATATATATATAAAAATCCACACTTTCTGCTAGGTCATGTGTAGAATATCTCATTTCTATTTAGTTGGATAAACGACTATGACACATTAAGTAAGGTAATTTGCTTGAATTGTTAATAGTAGAAGAGTGATTTTCTTAAATTTACTTAGTATTTAATCACGATTCATACTTTTTTTCCAATAACATTAATCATGATTCATTCTTGTAATACCAAAAGTAAAACAAGGTTATGAAATATTGTACGCAGCCAAAAGCATAGTTAATGGATAAAACCTAATTACTTTTAATTTCAGTAAGTTAACTCTTATGAAATTATATCAAATATACGTGTTTGGTTAATTTGTTCATCAATGATTCTGCATAAAATAAATCTTATTTTATAACCTTTTTGTTTTTCAGTGGGCATGACTATACACAAACCCAGGAAAATATTATAGTGCAAAAGCAACAATAAATATGTACGGGCTGTCGCAAGCACTAGTACAAAACAGTTCTGTCCAAACGGTTATTATAACCGTTTGGACAAGTCGAAATAGCCCAAACAGGTTTAACCGTTTGGAATAATAAACCCAAACGATTAAAACCGTTTGGACTGTTAAAAACTCCCCAAACGGGTGTACCAAACGGTTTTAACCGTTTGGGATATCTGCCCAAACGGTTAAAACTGTTTGAGAGTTTTTATTAGTTTTTAAAAAAAAAATTAAAAGCCTTCATTCTCCGTTCCCCCAAAAAATTTCATCCCACCGCCAAAAATTTATCCCCAAAAATTTTAAGACCGCACCCTCTCAAATCCCTAACCCCCTCGTCTGACCGCGTCGAAATCCCTCATCCGACCCCGTCGAAGTCTGACCGCGGCCGTCAGCAACGTACCTCATCTTCGCCTCATCTTCGATCGCCAGGG